CCGTGGCTGTTTCGGGAAGAGCGTGGATGACTGAGAGAATTGGCAGTGCAACCGCCGAAGCTGCAGTAATGCATGATCTTGACACCAAGTGCACAGGTTCAAAAGTCTAAATTTTCGATCAGAAAATATTATTTTGCTATTCATTAATCAGAATTGCATTTTTCTTTCTTGCAATTTCCGATGGATATTATAAATCATTGATCATTGAAAAGAATAAAAAATGATGGTATAAAAATTGTTAGCATTAAAGAGATAATAAAGGTCAATTTCAAAGTTAACAAGAAACAGTATTTTTGCTATAGGGACAAGCAAGCTCTTAAAAACAACAAAATCCATATTCAATTTGATGGAATGCCGAATAATTTATAAATTACGTATAAAATATGTATAATTATATTATATATTTCGTAGATCATCCACCCTGTATTTTATTTAACAATGGTTTTTCAGCATTTACCTAGATCGCACTGCCTGAAACGTCGGCCCACGTAAGTAATATTTATTTACATAGAACGTGGGAGCAGTGTATCAATATCAGGTATGTAGTTTAAAGAACTTGTTAGTTCCGAGTTGCCAACACATTTCAGATTGGTATGCACAAAGACACATTGTGTGAATCAATTCCAGAGATTAAAATTTGTTTCAGATTGACGTGCCCATTGTGGGGCAGATTGTGATAATACATACGTGAGGTTTTATATTCGTTTCAATCTATTGGGAGTGAGAGAAAATATATAGTTTTATTTAAATAAAGAATATTACTCGCGCAATGATTCCCCTTTGCTATGCGAAAATTGCGTTTCTATATCGTGAACCATTGAGAAGTAATGGTGAGGCTACTGTCAACTTAATTTCAGGCTGGAGTGGTGCACAAATGTGCACCAGCAACCCCAGTTACTTCAGTAGGATGTATACCTAGGAACCGGCACTACAATCTTGTCACCAGGTTAATTCAATATCATACACTAAGTTTTAATGTAACACAATTAAAAACTCGATCTTGTATCCTAACAAAAGCCTTATACTATTGTCATTATCTGTTCTACAGTAGAAAATAATGGAAATAAATTCTGACAATACATATTTTCTTAATCAAATCTTTAGTGTTGAATATAAATTTCAACTACATATCTTAAAGGTTAAAATATTACCGACTTAGATTGAACTATTCAAACTATTTTAGCAAACAATTATAACGTATTGCAAATCAATTACACCAGAAGAATACATGAAAACAGCTGTTACAGTAAAATTATAATTCAATTTTTACTTTCTCGTACGTGCATACGTAGTATAGAGCAAGTTATGAAATGCTGCGCCTAAAAACAGCGAATTGTCGGCAGAAAAACTTTCACGGCAAAGCCCTAGCGTAAAAGTGGATAAATCCAGAAAAACTCTAACACATAGTGTTGCCAAAATCCCTGTTTTGTTGGTCATTGATACCAAAATATCAATTGACAGCAACACGTCTGGTGTATGAGAACAACAATACACCTAAACCATGCCTAGGATGTTTTCGAAATTGAAGAAACCCCTGTCCCCATTAAGATGCTGCACATGTTTTTTTGAAATATTTAGTAGTTTTCGCGCAATATTGCGTCTAATACGTGCAATTTTAAAAAATAATAAAAATACATTTTGCTGAAAAATGGCTCCAATTTTTTTTCTTCACCTTTGATGACAGGGATAGTTTAAAATTCACTCTATAAGATAACATAACAACAATATTGACTAATTCATTACTTTTTTCAAAAAATACAAAAATGTAGTTATTTTGACTAGCCTCTCACGTCGTTTATATTTACATTAGTGATGTTATTCACGTTGTTGCATTTAAAAGAACATGTATTTAAAATAATGTCATATAACTATTCTCGAAAGCTCACTTTCTGATGATTCTATAAATTTATAAAGTAATTCGCCTGCCTTTGAAATTTATATTTACTTGTGTAATAGTGTAAGTGTAAAATAATATAATTACTAATGTTTGTCTCAAAATTTGTGTCTGTTTTGAGTAAGAATGAGAGATACGATTTCTTCGATTGTTAAAGTTATAATTATCGTATCAAACTTCCATTATGAATTATATACTTTATCAATATTATATATATATATATATATATATATATATATATATATATGTGTGTGTGTGTGTGTGTGTGTGTGTGTGTGGATAAGCACATGCATTTAATGTAGTAAATAAAAACTATACTTATCAGTTACACACTATTGATTATTAAACATTAAATACTTTTTTAGTTAAATAGATTTTGAATGTTTGTAAATGTTTATTTTCAATATGTAATTAATCTGACAACGTACGTTCTGCCGTGACCTGTAACTGCTCTGCAACGTGATTAGGCTTGAGAAAGGGAGCAGTTGCTTTTATGAGGCAACATCACCTTTTCAGCAACCACAGGTCGGTTAGTCCAGCAAGGTCGACTTTATCTCAGATGCTGTCGCATCCACGGACATGAATATAGCAACAATGTCTCCGTTTCTCGTAGCAAGGTTTTGTGTAACTATTGAAACCTTGTTGCGATCTATGGGGTCCTTTTTTTCAGTGAAGAAATTTACGTTCTTGATCGTTCCAAAAGCAAAGATTATTAAATATTGTTGGAAAGAGGTCTTCTTTTCTTCCCAACCGTTTTTGAAGTTGATCAATAAAAATAAATTAACGTAAAATATTTAACAGTTCCAATTATGCTTATTAATAATTCCTCTGAATCGTACCTCACAGTTTTTATTTTTCGGTTGTTTTCCTTGGTTCCAAGTAACTTCAAAGTGCAAAACGTCCGTAGCCAATCACGTACCGCGAAAGGCCACCGTCGCCCTAGTGGTTGTTTTCGTCACTTCAGTCGCAGGGGAGTAACGAGCTGTGGAAGATGACTCCTGACACCAGTAGTTGCTGTTCGCGTCTTGCTCTCGGATTGCCAGGACGGTAGGCCTCTTTCCCTTTTCATGTACTAACGATCAAATTCCGTGTAGAAAAAAGAAAAAAAGAGACGAGAATCAAAACAACTATTCATTATTCAATTATTCGTAAAAATTCGTATTCATTACCTACCTAATTTCGTTTTATGAATTATCTTGAAAATCATAGCGTATCTGCGCAGTAAAAGTAATGGCAACCTGTCATCTAAAAATTAGTGGTAACATGTTTTGGTGTTCTACACGCTTGAATGGTATCGTGCCTGCTTTTATATTGCAATGTTTTGAAACAGTGCAGAAAGACTAATAGTTGAGAAGCTCTCTCCTATGATAAATGGTTTGTTAGCACGATTACCTTTCAAGCGTTCAGAAATTGTATTCATGTAAGAGTGAAACTTTTACGCAGAGATAAAATTTTGTATAAGCGTTTATTAAAATTTTGAATTTGTTAAATAATAAATTTCACGCAACCTGAGAACACGTAATAATAGCGGAATCTTACGTCTCCCATGCCAATAAATGTCATATGAAATTTAATATATTTTGATAGGCGTCGTGGGATGTTCCTGTATTGCTGATGCAATCTTCTAGTTTGCGTATGGTTGGCATGGTTGAAATGTATTGACACTGTTGAAATTTATTATTATTTGTTGAATTATTATTAACAGTTTACAGCAGTTTACATTATCGGCCAATTTCTCTTTTGTCGGGATTTTTCAAAAATATTAGGTACTTTTTTACGTACGACTGGAAACGATTCTTAGAAAACAACACACGTTTTCAGATTGCCAACATGGGTTTCGAATATCAAAATCTATGGAAACTGCCATATTTTCTTTTCTTACAGATGTCGCGTCATCCATGGATCAAAACGAAGAACCTATTGGAATATTTTTAGATATTTCAAAAGCTATTGACGTCATTGATCACAACATTCTCTTAGAATTACCTGCGTTTGGAATTCGTGGTGTTGCTCTAGATTGGTTATATGTGTACCTTGAATCTGTAACGAGTATGCAAAAGGAAAGTAATATTAATTTTAACAACGACATTTAGTGTATTATTTACCATTTAGATTGTACAATTCTAAAAACCCTGTAAAACGTATTCTACTTCAGCTTCTGTGTCAATGACTGATTTCTCGATCAGGTTTTCGTCCAGTTTCCCTGATCCTTGAAATGCTGAGATGGCCCTTCGTTTTGCTTCTAGACATAAACGCAACTTCAAATGTGCCTCTCCCTATAGCTCTCCACACACAGTTTTTAACAGTTTTGACGTAAATAAATAAAAAACCTTGGATACAAATTGTAATACTTCGGTCTCCGCAGGATTAGTTCCGAGTCCTATTTAGATTTATCCATGTTTTCCTCAGTCTTCCCACACTCTTGTTGCCAAGTGGATTATATTTAGTGAATTGTTTTAAAATTCTTTATGGTGTTACGGAGAACACGCTTGCTCTTTTTCCTTATGGCCGATCCTAATTTACGTTATTCGGTATCTCTAGTTCGTTCGTGTTTATTTCATTTTAGTTTAAGCCTTTTCTGGTGTAGCCTTTAACCTTGCTAAGAAATTTCATACCTGAAGCTTTTAGAATTTAAGATCTTTATTAATGAGCGACCAGGATCCCGCGCTGTATGGCAAAATAGAACTATCATGTAAAATTTAACGGATTCATCGTCTGAAAGCGGGAGCCTTTCATTAAATAATTGTCATAGTTTTAGATCAAAAGTGATTAAAGGAACGTATGCGAAAAGTGGTGAAAGTTAATCGCACACAATAAATAAAATATTTACAAGAATGTGCTTGAGACTGCTTGCAGTGTTAGAAAGTATTTCAGTTTCAAATGTCTTTCGAAATTGAGATTATAGCATGAATATTAGATCTAAATAACAAAGTAATTTAATGATCAATGTACGCTGCTGTAAAGTAAGTAACTGAGTAAAGATAGTACTGACAGTTTAAATTACTTAAATTAAGATTTAATTTTTCGTGTTGGGTTAAATGTTTAAAGTGGGGACGATTTGCGTGAAATTACTGTCCTTAATAAAGCGCGATTGTATTTGTTCCAGGTGACTTCTGTTCGGTCTGCGGAATTTCTGAGCGCGTGGAAGGACAGTTGCCTTGTCCTCGCCTACAGTGGTGACCTCCCATCGCCAGCGCAGTGGAAGCCTTGGGGGGGAAGGGAGCGAATTTCAGTAGGCGACTCAGCAGACCGAACAAAGGTCAATTTCTCTTCAGCCAGTAACACGGCAGTTTACGGGGAACTTGCGTAGGGACCTCGAGTACGCGATTCTTATGAGAATATTTGCTTAAAAAGGTTAGTGAACAGACGGGTAGTGTGGGTGATTTCGAAAGTTTGTAAAAGTTTTAATTTGATTAGACGGTTATTTCCTTGCGTGGTTAAGTAATATGTTAATTTTTTTGCCTGGTTGGGTTTTGGTTGCTTGGCTATAGTTAGCGGAAAGCGGTTATTGAGAATTTCATGAGTATTCTGTAGTAGTGATGTGCCAATGAAAATGGCAATGAATAAGCGTTTGTGTCTGTAGCTTCCGCACGCATAATGGCATTCAGGCTCAGAGAGAGGAGTCGAGCCATGTCGGGGCGATGCCCTGATCTCTTGCGGCCTTCTCTCACCTCGGGTTTGCCGGAAATTGCGGCCCTGAGTGAACGGCAAGGCGCTTAGTGTATGTGGTTAGTAGTAGGTGTTTCATAACTCCCATCGCCATGGTTACGAGTGGCTGATCTCCGCGTTCGGAAGTCGGAGTGGTTTGCCATATACCAAATATGCGCTAGATGCGCCTAGGACCTCTATATATGCGCTTCGTATGCCGAACGTTTTTTTCTACTCCATATCTAACTAAACACCTCAGGTTCTGAAATTAGTAGTCATATATTCGAAAATGCCGTTGGAACTGAAGTTTCAACTGGTGGTTCGCGTTCTTCTCATCAGAGCATGAGCAGCGATTATAAACGATAGGTGTACTTTTATGCGTGTGCAAGCTATTTACACGACGTACAGATTGACTAACCGCGAGGAGGAGCTGGGAAAGATGCACAATGTCGATTTGCGTCACCCGAGGCCGGTAACGAAGACGGCAGGTCGCTTTATTTAAATGACCCTTGGATTGGTCTGAAACAGACTAGGATGTGGGGCGGTTTTTTTCTTGATTATAAGATTCGGTTAATTTGTGTGAATGAATTGAGAGGATTGGAAGGATTAATTTTGCCTCAAAACGTTACAAGGATTGGCCTTTTGTTCGGATAAACGCGTGATTGAAAATATTTAGATCCTGTAAGGTCGTGTTGGCAGTGAGGTATTTAATTGCATTCATGTTGAATGGTTTGGCGTTCAGTGGGACGCCTGAGAGTGTTTGAAGTTAGGCGGACTGTTATGTAAAATAGGTCTATTTGGTTAGTGGGTGACCATGTGGTGCGCATATTTCGTGACTGGCTTTTTAGATGGATTTGGGAGGGTAGGTACACACAGAAGTTGACTGACCTAAACTTGGGGTTGCATCTCCCAGCCCTTCAGAACAGGAACATAAGAATGTCATGAAGAGATGCAAGCAGTGAAAGTTCAGTTAAAATGAAGAACTCTCAACGAGTGCGGTAAAGTATCAATTAAACAAGGAAGTAGATATGAACAGCTAGGATGGAGTGGGCTTTGTGCACATTGTAGCGATGTTCAAGAAGTGGGCGTGGTGTGACCACAAGTAGCAAAAGTTAGAAAAGTAGGAAGAAACTTAGTCGATGAATAAAATAGACCTTTTGTAGTTAAAAACACTATTTTAATAAATATTATGTACTGCTATACAACGATTTATAATTTTCAACGCAGTTAGGCAGGCATAATATGTATAGAAACTATGAATGTGCCAGAGCATGGGCCGTAACCCTAAAGTCATCCAAAGGCTAAAAATCAAATGAATTATTAGGTGTACTATGTGCCGATGCTGGGGAAATGGGAATGGTATTGATAGTGTGCAGTATAGATAGCGTGAAAGTAGGGTGGGTTTGAGGCAATTGTAAATGAGAGCTGGAATCGCTAAATGGAAAAATGGGTTTTGTGTGAGGGTAGGAAGCAATGTGACGGAGTGAAAATTTTGTGATAACACTTGTGTGATATGAGTCGTTAACAGGGAGGAGGGTACCATCTAAATGATATAGGTCGCAGGGAGCGACAAAAGGACAGTGATATCACTCGATTCGAGGGAGGGTGGGTTTTGTGTGTTTGATAATAATATACGAGAGAGAAGTATTGTGAGCTTTGTCCGTTACATGGTTCAATGAGAGGGGTGTGAAGGGAGGGGTGTAATGTGTGTGTTACATGGTCTGATGAGAGAGTGTGGTTTGCTTTGTGTGTCACACAGTTTGATGGGAGGCAGGGTGGGAGTTGTGTGTTGCATGGTTAAATGGAAGGAAGGGTGGAAGTTGTGTACCCTGTGTGTCATATGGTCTGATGGAAGAGACGGTGGATGTTGTGTGCGTTGTGTGTGTGTGATATGGTTCGAAGGGAGGGATGGCGAGATGATGAGTACTGTGTCATACGGTTCAATGGGAGAGACGGTGGATGCTGTGTGCTTGGTGTGTTATGTTTGGATGGGTGGGAGTATGGGATTTGAGGGTCTTGTGTGTGATAGATGGTTCGATGCGAAGGAGGGTGGGTGTTTTGTGACTTTTGTTTTATGTAGTTCGATGAGAGAGAGGGTGGGTGCCGTGTATTTTTTGGTTCGATGAGAGGGAGGGTGGGTTTGTGTGATTTTATGAGTGTTATATGGTTGGATGGAAAGAAAGGTGGTGTTATGTTCCTTGTGTGTGTTGTATGGTTCGAAGGGAGAAGATGGTGTTGTGTGCTTTGTTGTATAGTTTGCTAGGAGGAGAAATGGGCATTGTGTGTTTTTGTGTTTTATATCGTTCGATAGGAGGGTGGGTGTTGTGTGCCTTGTGTGAGTTAAATGGTTCGATAGTAGAGAGAGGAGGTAGTTCTGTGCCATGTGTGTGTTATGTGGTTCGATGGGAGGGAGTGAGGTGTTTGGGTGCCTTGAGTGTGTTCAAAGATTGGATGGGAGGTGGGAGGGAGGGTGGGAGTAGTGTGACTTCCCTGTTGTGATGTTTTTCCCTAGTTGGTTGTTTGTTTTTCTTCGTGGTTGTTTGTTTTTCGTTAAGATCGTTGTTTAATTTTGTGTTATTCTTAAGATCCGGTTTGTTTATGTTGATGTTTTTACGTAGATCAGATCGTATGTATGTATTGTGTTTTTCGTAAAGAATCGTTGAATTTTTAGCTGTTGTGTTTTTCGTAAGTCGTTGTTAATATCGTATATATGTTTCATTCGTAAGATTCGGTGTTTTTGGTTGTGTGTTGTTTCGTAAGATCGTTGGTTTATGTTGTGTTTATTTCGTAAGGTCGTTGTTACTCGTGTGTTTTTCAGTAAGAATCGTTGTTTTGTTTGTTGTTTTTTCGTAAGATCGTTGTTTATGTTGTGTTGTTTCGTAAGTTCGTTGTTTATGTTGTGTTTTTTTCGTAAGTTCGTTGTTTTATGTTGTGTTTTTCGTAAAATTGTGTATTAATTTTTTTTATAAAGAAAACCTTTTATAGAATTGTACAAACACTTTCACCTTGTCATTGAAAAGATGGGATTTTGCCATGCTCACTTACACTTGTGTATTAATGAGAATTAAATCACTCTTCACTGATGTGTGTGAATGAAAAATATTTTTCTATAGGCTTTTATATTTGTGTTCTTGTATATGATAGTAAGAAATTTGTTACCTAGCGTTTTATTTAAATTTTTAGCAAGTTAAACTGATTTCTGCTTTATTTTTTGTCATAAAAATATGTGCAGTAGTTTTGTTGAATTGTCTGCGATCAATTGTCATTTTTAGGATTTAGTTTTTATTAACTTATTAATTGTTTTACAACAATTCTGTTATAATTGCAGTAGCCGAGTGATTGCATTGTTGTAGCTGAGGTGTCCTATTAATTTCTTGAAGTATTTTACAGTTCGTTGCCAAAGGGCATTTTACATGTAATTATGGAGTTATCATTTTTATTGTATAATGTGCAATATTATTTCCATTGTAGATTTTGCTTAAAATTTTTTCATGTCATTAGAAGTTATTTTATTTCATGCTCAGTGTGCTTAAAGGACGTTTTGACTCTGTCACACCAAGCATTTTTCTTTGAGATCTTTTAAACTTGTTATTAAGGTACTTTTGCTATAAAATCAGACATTTATTGTTTTTAGTATTTTTTGACTTGTTAATGATCTTGTCGTCCATGAAAACAGCAGATAGTACATCACATTTTGATAACGGTAAGGTTTGTTAAAATAATAAAAGGAATACTGGAGTGTAAAATAATGTTTACCTTTCGTATGTATCTAGTTTGCACAAAAATTCAAAAGCATTTTGCTGTTTGTTATGTCTTATTGTCAGAACTCTTTATTTGTTAAAGTTATTTCCAGGTAGTTTTCTTCTTTTGGTTACTTTTCTTACAAAGTAGACAAATTAGCTTTAAAATGTGTTTACGGTATTGTTTTATTTTTAAAGTTTCTCAAGTTGTCTGGAGGTGCTCGACCTTTCTTTTCAAAAGTATTTATTACTTCTAAAGTACTTTGAATAAGCACATAATTTTTCATTGCGTAGGCACGCAATATTTACTTATTTAGTTGGATTATTTTTACAATTCCATTATGTCCTGTTTGGCTTGTAAATACATCACACGAATCATTTACTGTTAATAAATTATTCTTTGTAGCTGTAATCTTAAGTCTTCCTGGAATTTTACTAATTTTTACTGCTGCCCTTTCATTCTTCAGACCGTCGAATCGATGGGGAACGAGGGCTCGGACATATTCTTAACGAGTCTTTTGCCGAACCTCTAAGTCACTTTGAAGACGGCGTACATGCATTATTACATTGAGAACTGCAAGACGTAAAAATTGTCACTTGGAGGTGTTCGGACAAAGGGTTCTCTAACCACAGAAGCTGTTGCTGTTGGTATTGGGGTTCGATGGCATGTCGCAGTCAACCATTTCGACGTATGGCAGCCGGGGTAACGAACCTCATCTATTCATACAGATGTGCTAATTATATTTTTTTGTTTTCAGAGTCAATTAATACACATTTCTTATCACTCAAATTTCCATGAATTTCTACATTAACTACGTATGGTTTGATAAACTGCAGTTAACAAATATCGGCGAGAGAAATTGTACAAAAAGAATCAAAATCTCTAAGATGAAGATATGGTCAGACAAGTTTCATTTTATTAGTTTCCGTATACGTCGTATATACGGAGTAATATACTAGTATAAGGAAAGTTCTGTAATGCTGCGAAAAATCGATTTCGATATTTCAACGGAAATACGTTTTGGGTTCCCCTGATACCGAAAAACGTTTTTTTCAAAACGTCGTGGCGTCTCTCTGATGTATGCCAAAAACACTAGCGCCTAAACCATGCGTAGGATTTTTTCCAAATTGATGAAACCCTTGTCCATTTGCCTCAGTCGGAAGTTTGGGTTTTTGAAAATCATTCATTTTGGGGGTACCTAGCATAAAACCCCTGGAACATTTTCCAAAATTTCTCAAAAACGGCTCTCAATTTTTTCTTTTCATTTCTTGTAATAATATAGTAAAATACGCTTCTAAAGGTAGCTTAAGTCCGATTTTCAAGGTTAACTCTGAGTTTTCGAAAATTTCAAAAGTTAGAATATTTTCTATGTCTTCCTGCGAGTACAAAATTAGAGGTAGAGATGTTTCTTTCAAATTAAACTTGTAATCCAGAATTTCTTCAGTCAATAAGGTCATGTTTATTTTTTGAAAATTTTAGTAATTTTCACACAATACTGCATGCTATTTGTGCAATTTTAAAAAATTACAAAAACTGCCCCTAATTTTTGATTTAAACTTTTGTTAGGAATTGTACTATATGCACTCTATGAAGAGACATAAAAGCCAATTTGCTCTATTTGTGTTTCTCAAAAATGTTATTTTTGTGACTTGTCTCTCACGTCATTAATATTTACACTATCGGCATTTTATTCACATTATTATATTTAGAAGTACATTTGCTTTAAATACTGTCAGATAAATCTTCTCGAAAACTCAACCGTTTTCTGTTAAAAACAAGCTCAAATTTTGCAATTTCAGAAACGCGCAGACGCCATTTTCAAAAACAGCTCGAATTTTTTTCTTCAAAATTTTCGAAAAGATGGTGGTAATTCCACTCTTTAACATACCGTAAAGTTCATTTAGGGATATATTTTCTTCAAAAAGTACAGAAATAATTTTTTTGAATGATATCTCACGCCGTTAATATGTACATTTCCAATAGTTTGTAAACACTATTGTATATGGGAGTTAATGCTCTTAAAACGACTTCGAAAGAAGGTTTTCAAAAACTCAAACTTGTGTCTGAAAAAGAAATTCAAAATTGGAATTTACAGTAGTGCTTAAACGACAGATTTTTAAAAACGGCTCCGTCTTTTTCAAAGAAAATTGCCATTTTGGACGAAATTTTACTGTCCTTAATAATCTTAAAGTAATATCTCGTTCTACCATTAAGAAACCCAAAAATTGAGAAAATGTCAAAAAAATGTACTTTGGGTTGTGATAGATGGCAGCTGGCAAGAGTATGTGGTAAGTCCGAGTAGCTAAGACCAAAGGAAATATAAAACTAACACGGGAAAGTCTGTGCCTTTCTGTAGTTCGACTAATTCCCATTGTTATGAATAGTATTTAAAAAAAAGTTTTCCGCTTCCTACAAAAGTAATAGCAATATTATATAATTGAAAATGTTATGTTTCAGGTATGGAGTACTAAGGCCATCACATATACCACAAAACAGTACAAGGAAGAAAGCACAGATTAGTGACGCCTGTTGCATTTCAATACTTTTATAAATTTTAACTGGGATGTTCGACGATCGAATTGTTTGGATTTAATAAATGTGTGTATTAAAATGATATTGTTAAAGTGTTTGTATAAATTACGCTTGTTTAATAGCAAGTGATGCAAATAAAAATATAAGAACTTTTAAATGCATTGGAAAAAAGTATTAAACGTTCTTGTGAAATATAAATGTCTGCATGAAAATGAAGAAAAATTGAATTTCTTATTTACTTTTTATTAAAAGTGAAATTCACTAGGGCTACCCTTACAGATTTTTTAATTGACTGATCAATTTTAACATTAAATAAAAAATTTTCAGCAGTAGTGACATTTCTTATGATACTCGAACAATCCAAAATACTGGTGCATCTTTGTGTAATATTTTGTAAATGACAATTCATATTACACGCAGGCTGCGCTTAAAATGTTTGGTTTATTAATTAAAAGTGTGTAGTAGTAAAGTTCATCAATTGTGCAGATCTATAATTTCACTAAAGTTCACAAAATTGCACAAAATTCTTTGAAAATCTGTACCTAGTCGAAACTAGAATAAAAATTCGCAGCATTCTGGAATTTTCAATAAAGACTTACCCTCTCATCTTCGATACGACGTGGGTTAGATTGACCACACCCAAAATTTCAACTTTATACCGCCTGATTAAGTAAGCAACGCAGTATAACTTACGGAATTCGGTATGACTCCGAACACCATAGCAAGTTACTTGGCGTAATACCAGTTTTAAATTGCAGTAATGAAGATCATTGATATTGTGACAGAAATTTACTTAGGCGTGAGGGATGGCATGACAGAACCGGGTAAGTCACGGCAAACGGGTGCAGGCTAGGGAAGGGCAGAGCAGCGCAGGCCACGTCAGGACATACCACGGAGAGGAAGCACCTTAGAGAGAACGCATTCCTTTTCCTGTCTGAATAGTGAATGTGATAAATATCCGTAAAATGGTTAAATAAAGGGATCGACTTTCAAATTTCCATGAGATTGAATTGCACGCTATTCCACTAGTGTTCATTTCTAGTTGTAAGCAGTGTAGAATAGAGAAAAGCAATCGTTATCCATCGCAGAACCAAACATTTTGCATTTTCCATTAAACTGACAGTAGATTTGCACGAGATAATGACAATGATAAAAGTCGGCGTTACGAATTAGAGACGTTTCTCTACAACTCGATATTCTCTATAAATCGATTTTTTTGTTTCTTGAAAATTCCGTTTAACAATGATTACATCCAAAATTATTCCCTTACATCGAACTCATTTTCTGACGACTATATTTTTCTGTGAAAAATGTACAGTACATTTCATAAATTATGATCATTTCTGCAGAGTTTCAGATTCGGAGAAAATTTTCCATACAAGTGTGAACAATTTTGGACGGAGTGCTTCATATTGTCCAATAAGACATTGTAATTTTTTGACATTTCATTTCAATGATTTGGTGATGTGCCAATGCAATACTAATTTTCTGGTAATATTCATAAATGTAGTACGAATGATTAAACATTTGTTAATTCTTTTTTATTTAATTTTCCACATTTCCTTTTTCCCAAAAACTGTTTAAAGGCATTTCTTTAAGAAAGCAAATTAAAAAAATAATTTCTTTATATAAAAGTTCCTATGTATTAAATATTATCCAAGAAATAGTCAGGTTTGATATATGGAGGACCAATTGTAATAGCTAACTATTCGAAAAATTAGATTGATAATGAAAATATTCCTCATATCTTTAAAGTAACGTCCCGAAATGTACAAGTAAATATGTAAACCAGAATTAAGATGCAAGAACGACTGTGTAATGTAATTTAATGTAACGTGGATACGTTATGATAAGAGTTTATTTTATCCAAGTTTTAGAATTTCAAATAATTTATAAGTATTATTGAATAATTGGGTGATTGCGTTACTAGTAAGTCGGAAAAAGTCGTAACTCTCGTAATAAATCATTAAAATTTGTACCACGGATTCATTCTTTCAATTCATAGTGGAATGTAACAATGATGCAAAATTTTCGCAGTCTGAAAACACTACGCTTTTTAATATTGTGAGGAACCATAGTAGTATATACGTTCTTACAAAGCCATATCCTTATCAAAAAAGTGTTGAGAACATCGTTCATCGAAAAAGTTATGCATGGCAGGTCACCAAATTTCATGATATAAAAGATGACGCAATTTCTTTCCATTCGGTGCTATTTCATTAACATGAACGCTAAAAGATATAGAAAAGAAGAAAACACAGGATATCTGTCACAGAATACCAATATTCTTGTTCTTCTGTAAAATTACGGATTGAATAATGTGTGAGGGAATGTGGCGTGTGATTCAGGTTTCTTAGATAACAAGAAAGACACTCTATGCGGAATGCGGGGTTGTACTTCCGGTGCTCAATATGTTGGCATAGAAGGTGGCGAAAGTGTGCGATTCGATCGCGGAGAAAATAGTCGGTTGTCTTTTCGGAGTATAAGAGATCACTGTTCGAAGAATACGTAATGGTGGAAATAAATTTGACAGAAGCCTGGCGCGGATGTCGGCGAATTGGGGGCGTGCATGGCATTGCCGCTTGCAAGAGGAGGTCGCGGTTCGAGTCCCGCCCTAGTTTCGAGTGAATTTCCCGTGGAGCCTGGGGTGTACGAAATTTAACGTAATAGAATTATTACAAGTTGTTCTGTTGACGTGCTCGCGGAAAAGTCTGCGTAAGTTATAAGTACTATTATAAAACTTAGTAAGTTAGCATTAGCGGGACCTTTCACCGGGAATCGCGGCGGAGAGGGTCTCCTCCGCACCGGGGGAGTTCCCCGGGGGGGCCCCGCGCGGGGCGGTTTCTCGTTTTGTGGGGGGAAATTTTACTTTTTCTTTCGGGGAAAAAAGGGAAAGAGCAATAGCATGAGTCCTCATCGGGGGGCGTTTTGCAAAAAGTTATGCTGAATATTATAAGAAAGAATCATTAAAATGCGCCTACGACATAGGCATCACACTGGGACCTCCCGAAAGCAGAGCAGACGGGCAGGGCGGCGAAGGCTCCGCTGGACACGGGCCAGCCTCGAACCCGAATCCTTCCGCTGTGTTAGGTCTGCAATGCTAGGCCAATGCGCCACCAGGGGCACGAGGGTAACATCTAGTAAATCTTCCATATTAAGGTCGAACAGAGCACTAAGACAAATGTTCACCATGGTAAAAATGCTGCACCCGTTCCATTCAATATTCGAACGGCAAGGCTTCTCCACCCAAGGCAAGACACGTTTAGACACTTCTACGTTCTTATCACGATGGAGCTTCTCACTTCTTAGAAGATTATATACGGTAGCTTGTGTCGATTAGTGTGGAAGAACGTTCGAGAGGTAAGGTCTAGGGGCGTCGTGTTGGTAAGAAATCAGAACTTTTTCGAAAAATTTAAAGTTTATGCTTTGAATCATCGTAAGTAGGGGTATGTAAAATAGACTATTTTGTCCCGATAATAAAATCGTTCCTTATAGTTTTATAAAATAGTGATGTACACATTTTCCAGAATTTGGTTATTTTCCCCTAATGTCCGGGTAAAAATACGGCAAAAAAAGGCCTGCTATGCGAGGAGCACAACACAAGTTTAATAACCCGATGTCAGTAATGTAATGAGGTATAATATGTTTAAAAGCAGATATTAAAAAGCTATGCAACTCCTCATCCGCCTACTGTTACGTAAGTTATTTTAAAGAGGGAAGTACCTACACTCGCCCCTTTATTGTTACATGTAGTATATAATGTATGAATTCCTACCAGACTCCGTCGAGTGTTACCGTGTACTGGTAAAAATTTCCTTTGTAAAAGTTGCTGCGTTTGCAAACATCTAACGTAAAATTACGATAAGATAAGGCGTGTTGGTGAACACAGGCCGTATCTTTCCTAGCACCAGTGGGTAAAATGAGCTCTTTGCATTGCGTGATCTTGGGGGTTCGTATTTCATGAGGAGAATAGACGCCGGTTAATTTTACTAGAATGATCTGGTGTCTAACGGCTTGGTTAGACTTCGATATGGAAGACTTTACTAGCGTTGCCCTCGTCTGCCCTGTGGCGGCAGGGCTAGGCACTGAGACCAACAAAGCGGAGGATTCGGGTTCGAGGCTGGCCGGCTCCGGGAGGCCTCCGCCCAGCCCGCCCCCGTCTGCTCTGCTTTGGAGGTCCCAGGTGTGGTATGCACAATGTGGTAGGCGATTTTAATTTGACTTTTTTCTTAATATCAGCAGTAAGGTGTTTGCAAAACGCCCCCGATGGGACCTCGATGACTATGTTGCTTTGCGAAAAGATTGCAGACGCGCGCGACGTCCGGCGGCAGGACGACCCTCTCCGAGTGATTCCCGGTGGAAGCCCCGCGTAATGTAACTTATAAGTTTTAAATTACTTGATACATTACTGGAGACTGTTCCGGGGAGAGCAAAGCCGTAACGAAACTTGTGATAATAAACCATACGTTAAATTCGTACGAGACTCCACGAAATCACTCGAAAAGCGGATTCGACCCGACGACCTCCTCTTCCGCAAGGCGGGCATATGCGATGCACGGGCCCCATCGCACAAGCGCCGCCGAGGCCTTTTCAATTATTCCACATTGCGATTTTCGAACGATATCCTTATACTCCAGAAAAAAACCAACCGATGATTTTTCCCCAACCAACCGATAGAGTGTTCTTTCTTGTTATCTAAGAAACCTGATCACACCGCCACATTCCCTCACACATTATTCAGATCGCTGAGCGGTAATTTACGTAGACAAGGAGATCTTCGCACTCCGGAGGGACGCAGAGAAGACCTGTTCACCTTTTCCTTTATCTTTTGACGTTCATGTCAATGAAATAGGGTCAAATAGGCTGATGTTACTAATTCACAATCACCACAATTTAATACTTTTAAATCTTCTTTTGATATTTCATACCCGGGATAAAATTACCACGAAGTGTTCTAGCATACCTGTAAAGGTAAGAGTCTTTTAGCATCGTTTCTCCTTTTCAACCAATGCATTGAAGATTTAATGAAAACCCAGACCCTTTGGCACTATGTAATATATAATCACTGCTTCTTCACGTTTGTACATTTATATTTCGAACTAGCTGTACGCTCAACTTCGTTTGGGAAGAGACTTAAATATATACAAAAGGGTTAATTTAAAAGAGTAAATGAAATGTAAAGTTATTGAATTATTTGACCATATTTTACATTAATATTTCATGAAAATTAACAGCATAGCTCCTTTATTTATTATTCTACGTATTTGGTTTTACAGCCAAGACAAATACTTTCATTGGTATCACGCGAGTGCATCAACATATGTATGAAACATATTGATACAACACTTATGTCTATTTTCAAAAAGTATGTCCTTGTGTTTTATTGACGGTTACATATTGTGTCAATATATAACCGTTACATATTGTGATTTGTACATGTTCTAATGATTCCCGCAAGTTTTGAAGAATTTAAGCGTTAATATGATTTATTATTACCTTTTTAGGTGTTAAAATTGACCTCTTGCTACCTCGCTACTGTTCACGCAGTATAGAGACATTTTTGTAATGCTGCAGCGGAAAACAGCGAATTTTCGACAAAAAGTTGTTGCCGGGCCCTGGTAACGGAAATGTGGATTAATCTGATCCCTTTTATACAGTAAATTACTTTCTCTAACACGATGTTTAGTCAAAATTCATGTTTTGTGGATCCTTCATAGCGAAAATCGATTGCCGGCAAAAGGTCTGTCAACAACGCTAGCGGGAAAACCGCTTGCACGAATTTCCCCCAAACTGATATTTTCTCATTGATCTGGTTCATTTTGCGCCCCTTTCAATTTGAAACATATTTAAATTTTGGGATGTACTTTACATGACGCCTCTGAGATATTTTCAAACTTTGTAAGTTGTTTTCAAGTTCTACAATTAAGAAAAACTGGACAAAAGGTGAAAAAAATGTCTTGTAGGCGACCACAGAAGAATGCTGGAAGGACTGTTAGGGGCAAAACCTAACACCTAGACAAGACTAAAGAGAATAAAAAATAATAGGTAGGAAAACTCTTATTTTCCTTTGCAGAATATCAGAAGGTAATGTAATGCGATATACAATGTGGTCCATGAGTTTCAGCAATGAAGATAAAATCTGGCATTTTTGGTATAATTTATTGTCACATTGTCGATTCACTAAGAAAGCAGACATTATTAGTGGCAGGTTCATTACGACGTGCTCTGATTGTAACTTTTGTCTGCTGATTGTGATCTTTTCCACATGAAAGTAAATTATTCGACGTTTACTCGCATGCGAAAACGAACAACCTGCAAATATCTTAGACTTCAAAATATGTATGCAGGGAGTTATTTCGAGATAAATGTTTTATTATATGGATTGTAAATATAGGTTTTATGAAATAATATTTGCAGTTTATTGGGATAAAAGTTCAATGACTATAGAGGAAGTCTGGGAAGAAATATCTGAAATAAATGGAACGACATGGTTGCCGTGCCTAAAACTTGAATGACTTATTTTGGGGGGACAGTGAATTTCATGTATTCTTTTCTGTGTAGTAATTTCCCGTCCGAGTGCTCTTTAGAACGGTGTTTTTGAAACCCATATAAACGTAATGGGTAATTTTTCTTACCCACATAAATGCCTTGTGAGTAATTGCAAGTATAAATAGAGCTAGCTGTCACCGAAAAATAATAGTCGGGTATTTAAAGCTTGCATTCCTTTATATTAACGTTTTGTGACATTACGTGAATAAGTAAAAGGAGAGGAAGGCGGGTATGATTTACAAACACATTTATCATGCCAGTAATTTAAAATACACATTTTATTTAATCCAAACAACTATACTCAAGTTACATTGTTGTGAAGATATTCGAACTGCAGCCACCACGATTCTGCACAATCTCTGCGTGCTTTCTTCTACTGGTTGGTGTATGTGATGCCATTAGTACAAGACACCTGAAACATTACATTTTTGTTTATGCAGTATTGCCGTTTTGTTTTTGGAAGGAGTGCAGGGAATTTTATCAAATAATCTTGAAAACATGAGAAAGAACATATAAACTTAGAAGCTAATGTAAGTTACGTTTATGTTTAGAAGCTAAACAACGGGCCATCTCAGCATTTGATCGAGGATCTGGGAAACTGTATGAAAATCATACCGTGATGGTCATTGACCCAGAAGCTGAAATACCGTACTTTTTACAGTTTCTTTAGAATTATACAATTCAAATGGTATATAATACATTAAATATCATTGTTAGAATTAATATAACTTTGCTTTTGGATGCTTGGTGTAGTCTCTAATTGTATAGAAACAGTTGTGCAGCAGAAAGATTTTACTTGAGACTTAAACTTTTGTATCGAATTTAACCTTTTAACGACATCTAGAAAGGTGTAAAATAATCTACTTGTATTATATGTGAATTTGTTGTAGTGAGCTGTTGATACTGTCACCTGATGAGTATGATTACTACGTCGAGTGTTGTAGTCGTAGACAACGGCATTTGCTGTAAATATATTCCCGCCCTTACGTTAGTCATTTTTGACAAAAAACACTGATTCACACACATAAAGAGACAAGGTAATGGCAAAATACTTAGATTAATAGAGAGAGGCTCACGAGAATAACATGGGTAGAATTTGCTTATTATTCGTACAATTGTTTTTGTAATCTAAAAGTCTGGGAGCTATGAGATGTACTTCCACAGAATATTATGCCATATCTCAGGCGGGAATGAACATTCGAGAAATCTACACAACGAGCAGTGTAGAGGCTTTTTAATACACTAATTATGAGATTATGTAAGAAAAGGAACGAAAGAAAAATTGACCTGGAAATAGCTAAACAAATGAGACCGAAGACAATATGACAAAACAGATGAAGGGTAAAAATAGTTTTGCACTCATTTCTCCCATCTAAACAATTCTCACCATTCCCAAAATATGATGCTATCGTAGACACAAAATGCTATCTATATCACAGTAAATAAATTACGGAAACGCAATAAAGTGAGAATTCATTGAGCAAATATTATTAGAGCGCTCAAAAAGTTCTGAAAGCAAATTCTAGGTACATTTGGGTGAAAATGTTCAATTATACCATATCTGCAATTTATAACATAACTTGTAGTGAAAGGAAACGTAGTTGCAGGCAAGCGAATTTTGCCGTAAATAGCAATGTACAAATACAACAAAAATGACAATTTTACCATCAAATTTCTCTTATCAATCAAGACTAAAGTACCTAAAGAAACGTTACAAGCGTCGCAGCTACAAAAATGGCCATTGCAATTATACCCCAATCACAGAAACATTTAAAAAACAAGTTAATAAAAAGCTAAATCTTAAAAATAATTTAAATCAAGCATTCTAATAGATGTAAATGTGTAAAGAAAGGGCTAATAGAAAATGTCTATCAGCTAAAATGGGGTTATTGTGCACTATGGATAATAAATATTTAACTACTATTCACACTCAAATAATAATAATAAATACCAGGGGACAATAATTTTTATTCATGATAAATAGAAAAGAGTTATTAATAATTGTTAATACACAACTCAAATTTAAGTGAACATGCTAAAATTCCAACGTTCTAAACCAAGGTGTAAATATGTGTCTATATATAAAATTCTATAGAATATGTCCTTACTTTGTAAAAAAATAATTATTTGACACATAATTTTTTTCACCAAATTATATATTTCTTAAATAACAAATCTTAACCATATATTTAAAAAAAACCTTAACATCATAATGGTAACAATATGACTACGTAATAAGGAAAATATATGTACGTTTGTATCTAGTTTTCAGTACATTTTTGGAAAAATATGAAAATGTAAACAAGGAGTTATAGCGTATTTAAAAAAAACGAGTAATTTTATCTAATAAATGTTACATATTATTCGTAATTTACTGAGTTTTAAAAATAAATTAAAAAATTACAAAAAAAAATTATATTAAATAGTTCAAAGATTTCATCACTTTTTTACATACGAATTAAACTACAATTATTTTAACGTTACTCCTAGTAACATTAATATGCAACACATAACATGTTTGTTAAGAGAAAGAAAGACAAGTAAAATGAAAATGCACGATTATATAAGATGTAGGAAAAAAACTAGCTCATGCCTTTGCTAAACTTACAATACTAACATTATAAATTTAGTACACGTAGTAAATGTCATCACAGCTGAAAGGGTTACTATTGTGTAATTAGCACGAAAAATTGAAAATGGGAGTTTACGAAAACAAAAGACGAAATAATTGAAAAAGAAAAAACGAAATTATAGATCAATATAAAACCTGACAGCATTCTACTGGGGAAAAATAATAAAAAATTGAAAGACAAAGCTATAAACGAACAGAGAGTTTAAAAAATACACAAGAAAGGCATTTACAATATCAAATATTTGAAGATAAATTTTTTTAAAAAAAGTTTAAGTTGAAAAAAGAAAATTAAGTAATTTATGCCGAGGATTTGTTAAACTGCTTCAAACCCCACATTGAAGGTAATGGAATTTTGACACCTGTACACATTCAAATCGGAAAACAGCTATTTCCTGAAAATTTATTAATACAATGAAAGTAAAGATGTTTAAAAATGGCTCACTACAATAGTAGAACAAAATTATCAGAAACAAATTTATTTAACTTTCCGTTTGTGGCGCGACCATCCATGGCGCGTCCGCCCGTGCTTGATGGATGACAGGATGGAGAATGATTAACAGGACAGGATGGATTAACGATGGAGAAGAACCGCGACAAATTCCACAAATATCTGGCACAAGGTGGCTTTCGATACAACTAGCCGTTAAGCAAGTATCGGATCAATGGATAGAGATAAAAACTCATTTTGGTATGGCACGAAGCAAAGATAAATGTTCCGCTGCTGAAACATTGTATAGCCTGTACCAAAATGAGTTGAACCTTGCTTATCTGTTGGCAATAAATCCCATTTTGTCAGAAGTCCAGAGAGTGAACAAGATCTTTGAATCTCATACAGTTGATCCGACTAAACTGTTGACAGATTGAAAGACTTTGACACTTTCAATTGCGCGGAAGATTATCTTGCCTACATGTAATGTAAATCCCTTGCAGTGTGATATAGAGGACCACGTAGACAAAAAAGCATACCTGAATTTTGCTGTGCAGCAAAAGTTATAGGAACTCAAAAAGCAAGGGAAACTTTCAATCGAGGATGAGATTCAGTTTCTAATAGCGCTTTCCACGCAGTTGAAGCAACGCTTAACTAATAATATTGAAATGTTAGAAACTAGTATGTCTACGTTATCCATCAAAAATTGTTTAAGTGCAATAAACCTAAACTCGCTCCGCTTTTCAATTTTCGCAGTATGTCCAACGATTTAATTGCTAAGATTGACTTTCAGTATGATTGCATTCATCTGAGCAGATGGAATGAAAACTAAAGCACTGTCTCATTTTGGAATGAGGTGAATAATTATGTCGACGCTGCTGGAGTAAAACCTTTCAAAGAATTATCAGATTTTGCTCTTTCCTTTTTTGGTTTTACCACATTCAAATGCCGAAATGGAGAGGGTGTTCCGCCTAGGGAATGTGGTAAAAATATACATAGAAACAAAATAAACATTGAATTATTAAATGCGATTTTGTCAGTACGTTTTGGTCTAAAAAGAGCGGGTAAATGTCATAATTACTGGTTCCCAACTGAAGTTTTAAAACAGATAACTCAAAAAAAACAAGTATGAATCCAAGAAAACTAGTGATAATGTGAACGATGATGAGTTATTAGTTTTCGTTAACCTTTATTAATAAGTTCTTTTGCACAACGTATATTTTTAAAATTTCTAAATCTATGTTATTAGCAAGAATAAATTATATAATACCTGAAATCATTATTATTTTGCAAATTTTCACCCAATTCCATATTATCTAAACATTTAATTGCAGGTTCAATAAAGCCACTATATTTCGCAATCAAATCTTTGTTTTAATAGAATAAATTAATACATTTAAATATGGAAAAATGATGTATTTTACGTTTACCGAATTTAGGTGGGAAATTTAAAACCAGTTCAGGGAATTATCGGCGGAAACTGAAACGAATGTGGCGGAATTCCTCTAAACACATCTGTCAACACTGTAACCGTTGCAAAGGAAAGGCTTCTTAACAGAAGAAATCAGTTGCCTCTTTGGTACTCGCACCGAGCTGACGTGCTCGCAATGTACTCCACAACTCTTTCGGCTAATTGTTAGTCAGTGTGTAATATGTAACGCGAGTGCAATGCTGTTGCCTATTCGCTCAATGTGTTTCACAGTACCATTCACTAAATAATTTGCCTTCCGGCAAACAAATAAGGCACAATGTGTTCGGTATTTTGTTCTTAATTTTCCAGTGTTATTTATATTTTTTAGCGCAATATTCTATTAATTACCTGATGGTGAAATTTATATCAGTATTTTGCATACTAGTTATAAACTGATCAAATATGAACTTCCTCTGCTCGTGATATGTTAGAATGTGCAATCTGTCGTGTATCATAATAATGATGACTGCATTACTCAGCACCCGTATATAGGTGTAGGGTCTGCTGTCCACTTATTAACTTGCTGTGCTTTTGAACATCAATATATGTGAAATACCTGAATACAAGTGAAACCTACTACCAAAAACTGTGTGCTGAGATAATCAAGTTGAAATAGATGAGTTTTTTTTTTTTTTACTCAATGCTCTTTGCTAGATTACACTTATCTCGTCACATGCTTTCATATCCAATATTACTATTGAAAAGGGGAAAAATGAGGTTTAAAAAGGTAAAATTTTTCCGGTACATTTTCACAGTAATTTAGTAAATCCAAAAGTCTGGACTTCAATGCTAATGCTAATCGAAAGAATAAATATGAATTAGTAATGTAAATAATTTTAAAACGTCCAAAATGGGCATTTTCTTTTGCATACAGGATATATGTACCAATAGTAGTATATAGAAGGTGTTAGCGTGATACATATTCTGATTTGTGTATTCCACATAATGATGGTGAACAAGAAAATTAACCAAAATGTGTAATGCATAAGAATTTGAAAAACTTGGCATTTTGGAGGATAACAATTTCATCGTCTGTGGAGCTGTTAATTTTTAATTCAAACAGATTATTTAGGTTTCACTTTTCATGTGGACATGAAATAAATTGTTTGGCAAGAGGTTTAATTTGGTTATACTGATTGTTCCACAGTAGTGATATTATGAGTTGCACATTGGCCAGTGTATATCCCCTTATTCCAAATAACATGATTTATTTCAGTATATTAATACTACATTTGTTTACACACATTTTTAATGAATTTGAAGAATTTGTTTAAATTTCAGAGCTGTCACAAACTTATTCAAGATTTATTCTTTTGATCACGTTTGATGCCCTATTTATCGAAGTATTTATTAATTCTTTTGAAGTAATTACTACATTTTGATGACGCACAACTACAACTAAATTGTGACCACCATCTAACCAACTTATTTAGCCAGTGTATTTTATTTGAAACCATCAACTACACAACTTCGCCACCAGCTTTGCAATCAGATTCACATCAATCCTATTTCACACATTTTGTTTGTTTAATACATTCGTCTAAATACCGCCCCTAACGCCATACTCATCCCTCATGCCCGTCTAACGGTCGACGCTTCGTCGACTTCAAGTTTCCCTGGCCTTCGGGCTCGCGTTGAAGGAAGAAACCTTCAAGATTATAGCTGCAGTTTGTCGTCAACGACTAAGTTACTATTGAGCGACACTTACTTTTTCATATCTTTTCTGATTGCAATGCTACTGTATACACTTGCCTACAATACATCTTTTGTCACCTCTACTCCGAAATTTTATATAATATTTAGTAGGACAGCCAGTCGAAGAAATCATAATAACCACACAAATAAACCAGCTCACACAACATAAAACCAAACCCAAACAATACAAGAAAACAATCAGTAGATCAGCAACAAATAATTACGTACCTACTAAACATACAAGCTTCCACGCAAGTCCACAACTTCCCCGATAAACCAATTCTAATCCTCATTTACCAAAGTCCTAAAGACCCGTTTATCCAACTCCGAACGCACGTACCTTCACATATAGACAAGTAAATTAGAACCTAACCCTCGAAACCAGCGCTAATATTTCATCCCTCCTCCCGGTCTCTCCGCAGTATTGCCAACATTCGTCGAGAAATTCGTCTGTGCGTCCCTTGCGATCTGCCTGCAGGGTCGTACGCTTAAAACCGGATCGCCGCTCTCCAGCTCCTCGCTTACCACAGACTTAACCACGTGGTCCGCTCGTGCGCTCCCACAAGGACTATGCTGCAAGGTCTGTTCCGGAAATCTGCCCTCACGCTCAGAAGGTGGGTGGCACAACGCACAACTCGCCTGAAAGAAATACAAACATTGAAAATAGGAGTTTACATTGTAGTTAAAACGGTATATTATTAAATTTGTGTTTTTTGCAGCTCTTCACAACTACAATCGGGACTTTCTTGAGAAATCGACTTTATCTTTACAATTTCTCACATTTTGTAAACTAAGAGAATATAAAAAAAATATTCCGATTTAATTTGTTGTTTTGTGATTAGAAAGTATTTTATTTGTTCTGGAGTAGTGTGCGTGCTACTTTTTGGTAATCCCATTTTGTGTAGTTTTGTTCGGCTGTTTTTGGCTGCTGCAAATCATTAATTCAGTACTAAAAACAACCTAATGAAAATATTGCTGACTGTAAATATATACTTCTATTATATTTAAACTAAAGGAACCTCCTCTGCCTCTCGTAATTAGAACGGAAACAATTTTGGGTTAAAATTTAGTATACGATACACCCTTAGAGAAGCGTGGCGGCGGGGTTTAAGCCCTAATTACTGGACGTGCTGTAATAGAAATGAATAAAAACTTACGGATTGGCGATTTTCATGGTTCACCTCTCGTTTGCTTTGTCCCTGCCTCATTGTAACGGCAAAATACTTTCATGGCGAGGCTCGGCTCGGCTCGGCTCGGGCTCACGGCGAGGCTCGGGCCTTCGGCCCTCGCGTTCCCTACAAACATCCTTGAGTCTATCCAACGCATAATTACCAATTCACTTTTATAAGACATCACTTTTCAAGAAAGCCTCGAGAATTCTAACTGCCTAGTTAACGCCGGAACCGCGCGAAGTGCCGACAGGTACGACTTCCTTAAGTTGTACCTGATACTACATTTCAGCCCAATTTTGAATATTTACAATGATTGAAAATGCGTGGAAAGTATGAAGGCATTTCAAGATTAAATTTTAATATTTCCTCTTCTCTTCTGACTACTATTTTTTTCTTTTAAACTAGGATAAAGAATTCCCTTTAGTCATACTGTATTGCAATTATCCTTATTCACTCACAGTGTGCATAGTTATCAAATTAGTATGCGCCCGTTAATAAATGCGAATTTGTCTTTTTGTTTGCAACTTCTAACTATTCAGAATTGATAAGCTGTATAGAGGTCGATGTCTGAACATACGCCCAGTACGTATTATATGATTAAACAAATTTCATAAAGACAAATATACATGTGTACAAATTGAAATGATTAATACGGAAGGTTACAAGTATATCTAGTATTTATGTGAAGTTTTCATCAACGAAATTTGATAGAAATAACGAGTTTTAATTTTAATCTTAATAGGAATATCTCTTAGATCTCATTTTTAGATAATTTCCCCGAAAACTCTTTTGTTTTATTATGTCTATCCTCTTGGTCGGTACACTAAGATCATCAAAATTAAGGAATTGATTTAATTTTCAACTTTCTAAACCTACAAAAATTCAATTCAACGGAGTCAAATTGAAACACAAATACAAATTTATGAGGGGGGCTTACCTTTGAGACATTCCGAGAACAGGACGCACGTATCTCCAAAATAATGTTCCAGACTCGTGCTTGCCAGAGCACGTCCCGTTACCCGCAGTTAGCAACGCAGACTGAGGGTCAGTGAGCGACTTGGCCGCTGCGCCGTTGGTCAGCTGAAAGGGCGAGTCTAGAGTTCTCCCTCCCAAAGACTACTGAATGCAAAGAATTTGAACGCGAGCAAACCTGAAAATATTTAGCGCTTTATATCAAACAGAATGATGATCTATGCAATTCATTTACTGTGAATATGATATTATTATTATTATTATTATTATTATTATTATAATTTCTCATTTGATTTGAAATTAGTTAATATTAATTAAGGGAAGATCCGTTACACAGAAGTTTTATTTTTATAATCAGAATTTGCATTAGTCAATGCAAACGATCAATGGAAACCGACAGTATATTGTATTCGTCAAAGAAAAATTTTCTTGTATCAGAAAGACCTCAAATTTATTCAATTAAACTAAACGTACCATAAGGAACACAATTCAATGCGTTTGCACTAAAATAAAAGTTGTTTAATGGACATCACTTCGACTACTTTCTTTTCAAATTATTATTTCATGTAAAGTTTGTGTTTTCTATACAAATCTGGGATTTATTTAGATCTTTATGAAATGTTTTATTGTGAATTTCGAAATAACAGAAAAGCAATATTTGCTAAAGGTTCCGTGACTATTAGTGCAGCATAATGGCATAAACCATCCCGTTCTAGTTGATTTCCTATGCTCTTGAATCTAATGGTTTTGAGTGTAAGATTTCTCTTCCTAAATTACACATACCAGCTGCCAGACGGAAATATTATGAAAACATTAGAGTGTATATGTAGTGCAGAACGTTGTCGACATATCCCAAACGCAATGATCACATCCATGTCTTACGGTCTCTTCTCACAAGAATTTTGAAGAAAAAATTAAAGCAGATTCGCAGGAAAGTTTGAAAATGTCCCCCAGGGACTTCAACTAAATTTCTCCCTAAATTTAAAGAATTAGTTTGAAAATGGCAAGACCTTGAGTCGGGCCAGATTGACAATTGAAAGTTCATTTTGGGAAAATTTTTGCGAATAGTTTAGGCACTAGTGACGTTTACAGACAGACGGTCAGACTAGAGAACAGAAGATCCGAAAACGTGTTTGCATTGTCATATCGAAATCAAGTAATCGCACCATTACGTACCTTAGCCAATACTACGTATGTTACTCGGCATATACGTACGGTAACGAGAAAATAAAAATAAATGAAATAAATACATTTTCACAAACCACAAAGCAGGCTGGAGGCAAATATAGAACACAAATTGCAGAATCCGAGTGCCTGTTCTTCAGAACGCAGTTGCAATGTTATAGCATTTATAATAGTTTGATATTAGACACCCCCCGTAATGATTAATGAAAGTAATTGCAGTACTCTCAGCGAATGAATAACTACGATTAACGACATTTGGAAGAGTAAACCCCGAAATGTTTACTTTTCATAACGTGAAAATAAGATGACTATATTTTGGTAATTAAATCTCAAAATATCCCAGCAGTTACTTCAAATTCAATATTATTAACAAAATTGTAGATATTATGACTATTATAAGGTTGTTCAAATGACTGACACTTTCATATGCTCGGAGTTTCTATGTGTTCATTAGATGTGTATCTTGGCGTTTACGTATTTGGGGAACATTTGTAAGAACTCAAGTTTCCATGATTTTGGCTCGATAACCACTAACCTCAAACAAACGAATTAATTATTAGGGTAGATTTTAATAGCATTGGGATGTCACGGTCAAATGGAAAAATATTGTGACTGAAATAACTATGAATTTGGGATAACGTACTTTTAAAACATAAATATTTAAATTGTAATTTACAAATTGCAATTGCAAAATTGACCCTCATTGCTATTTATTTAATTATATACAAAGTTCACATCCTTTCAGTTAGACATTTTCACAAATAAACATGTCAACACTACCGTGATTGAATTATTTTTTCGCATACTACATAAAAACATTTTGCAAAATTGCTCTCTCATTGAATTTGAAAATCTACGTATTTCAATATCATTACCGTGATTAGAAATTTCTGTAAGTAAACAAATATCAACTACAGAAAGTCAGAAACAGGAGCAAATATTTTCTAAGTAGGAGTTTCTATACAATTCTATTCACGGCAACATTTTCATTACAAATTTTTCTATTTTATAATTAATAAGCGCTTTTCATAACAGTTATTGTTTTCTTTTATAAAAACTCGGCAGCTTGTGCAGCGGCTTGTGCTGCACGCGTCATGCAATAGGAGAATTTTACCTTCGCACAGAAGCGGATCTGTAACGTGCTTTTATTCGAGGAGTGGGATCGCTTATCACATCTCTCGTCTTCAATTTTATTCACAGCAATACAAGTACCAGCCCTAATTTAGTGTGTAAAAACCCGATACGGAACTAACGAATAATAAATAAATATTATTCTATGTATATTTTGAAAGAATTCCGAATTGAAAATAAATATTGAAGTATCTCAGTTGGTTTCGTCAGCCTACTATGTTACTCATGAGTTATAATTACAGATTGTTTGAATCTGTAGATGACATATTTGTTCCAAAATGATGACGAAATATGAAAATTTGAACCAAGTAATTTCAGACTACAAATACTTGGGCTACTGAACTTACCCGAACCATGAAGTTTGGAAAAAAATTCTAAATATAAAAAACGGAGTGATTTCCCTAGCGTTCATTTCACTCTGCCGGAGGTAAGGGTAATCAAACCCTCCGTTGGGTCGACCTCTTGATGGCGAACCGCCTCACAAATTTGACATGTTTTTCACGTGTAAATTTTGCAATTATAAGTATTTCCTCTTGTTAAATATTAACAATATTTATGTATGTATGTATGTTATCTGAGTACTTTTCGAGTCTGAAATTATTTACTTTTTCTTCTTTACAATGTCTACAAACCAGAACAGTAAGTTGACATATCAGTGTATTTAATTTATACAGAAGCTTTCTTTGAAAAACAAAACACATTTAATTCTTTCATTGTGTGATTTGTGACTGCTTATCCCTGCTTTAAGCAAAATGTAAATTAATTAAAAATTAATAATATAAAAGATGTATTGTATCTCTACGTACTTGCGCACTGATTCATAAACAGACACGAGGAACAAAAGCACGTCGCAAGAAATCACATAAGTTTTCGTCGCCTGCTGTGACATACAGCTGAACAACGCGTCTCGCATGCCGGTCTGCAGCAGAGTGATTGAACCGCCTGCTAAACAAGACCGTGTTTGACCACTGTTTCTGCCTGATGTCAGAATAATGTCTCTGACGGAAACAGCTCTGTGTGTAGAATCGTATTACCCCTAATGGTGGGATAACATGTGATCGTTTCTTACTTAGAATCAAAACAATAGAAGGTAGTAGCAAGAAAAAATCTCAGTAAGACTCACAACAGTCAGATGACACAAAGTCACACGATACATACCTAATAACCTAAGTACCTATAGCGCTGTTCAATGTATAGGCTTGCATCGCGAACTGTAAGATTCATTTTTTGTGCAGTACGCATCGAGAGAATCTGAAGTTACGTCTTCAGAATCTGATGCCTCTGATTGGATAACGGAACCCTCTCGGCTGTGTCAGTGCATACGTCACTAGACGTGGAATAATATTCGGACAAGGGTCCATGCATGCATCCTTCCGTTTCTCCATTCATCTGTCTGAACTCTAACTTACGCAATGCGACATTCATTTGGGACAGCTGAAGTGAACATTTAGTACAAAATTTACATTGCTTAAGAGCGCGTGTAAAAAGCATTTTGTTCTTCCTGAAGTTGTTGTCTAACAGGTGTTTTCCCTGTTAGATTTGAGCTAACGCTGTTGAAATATCTGTTGACGATCAGAAGAAACAAGTCCAAAACCCAAGTTAGTTGTTTACCAGAACAAAGCTACATTACTATGAACAAGTGTTAGCAATTATATTTTATCAGAAACAGGAAGAAATTTTGATTTTGAATTTTAATAAGGAACAGCAAAAAGAACAGTAAACACGAAGATAATTGGAGGAAAAGCTGTTCAAGTTCGTTAACAAACCAGATAAGAATTTCCCTTTTATCAATGCTTGTGGGCTAAAACTAGGAAATTGAAGTACAATAAATCATACAATCTCGGATGTTAACGAGAAGCAGCACGCTCCTGGCAAAACTGAATGAGGCATGATACTGAGCCGAATATATCTCTGTTGTATTTCAACGTAGTTTCAAATCAGCTAGATGGAGTTTCAAGATCGATTGTTATTGTAACTTACCTAGAATCATTTCTAATTAAAGACGATCTGTCTTGACGTTCACCTGAACCACCGAGGGTTCACATAACATCCGGAAAAGAGAAATTAGTTAAAAGATTTATTATTTGAGAAAGTGAAGGGTGAATCGGATGAAACATGTATACTAAGAAAGAAAGTTGTGTTAAAGTTGTTACAACGTACAGGTATGTATGTGATCAAAAGTATATCCACACGTAGCTGAAATGTTTACCAAATTCGTGGCTGCTCCATCAGTAGTAAATGTGTATTCAATAGGGGTGTAGCTCGTCTTAGCCTTGATGACAGCTTCCACCTCGTCGCAGGCATACTTTTCAATCAAGGGGCTTGAAAAGTTTCCTTAAGGTTATCAGTCCATTCTTCACGGAGTGCTGCCTCTGAGGAGGTATCGATGTTAGGTCGGTGGTCCTGGACTCGAAGTCGTCGTTCCAAAGCATGTCCAGAAGTGTTCAGATCAGGATTCCAGGCGGGCCGAGCCCATTACAGGATTTATTGTTCGTGTATCCACTCACCACAGACCGTGTAGTGTGACCAAGTGTTGAAACGATGCAATTGCCATCCCCAAATTTCTCTTCAACAGTGGAATAAGAAGGTGTTTTAAAACATCAACGACGGTGATAGGCCTCGCAAAACAAGGAGTGCAAAGCTCTCTCCATCAAAAGTACACCATCACCATATACCATTTTTGGACGTGTCGGAACTTTTGATCATATAGCGTTGCTTAAAGATGCCAATTATTTGGTGATTTCTTCTCATGTAGTTTTTGAAATGGTCGCACTGATACTCTGGATGTGAAATGACATTTGCAAGAGTAGTACGTCGAATATCTACTA